GGCACCGCGGCGGGCGGGCGGGTGCGCGCGCTGGGCTGCAGCATCCGCGGCTCCGGTGAGTCCGCCCCTCCCCCTCCCCCGCCCCCGCCCTAGCCTCATCCCAAGGGGGCGGCCCCGAAGAGGTCGGTGCGTAGAGGGGCGCATCTGAAGCTGGGGAGCTGGAGTCTGCAGTGACAGCTCGGGGGAGGGGCACGTGGCCCTGGAAAAAGGGGGATCCTGATTCCAAACACCTGGGTGCACTCCACCCCTCGCCCACCCATCTCCAGGGCATGGGGATCAGTGACCTATTCCATGGCCCCCTAAGGAATAGAGCCACGTGACCTTTCAAGGTCCTGGACACCGTTCACCTCTCCTGCAGCGTCTTGGGACCCTGACATTTTAACCCTTTCAACACCCCCCTCTCAAAAAAAAAAAAAAAAACTCAGCTTCTGCAGCCCAGAGACGCAATTGAGGACTTCAACTCCCAGCAGCCCGTGCAGCTCCAGTGCGATGAAACTGCTGTAGCACTAGCAGCAAGACCTACTGGGAGTTGTAGTCCCTAGGCGTTTAACTCGCTCCTGGGGGCCAGGAGGTGGAAGGGGGCGGCTGGACCTCTCTGGGGTCACCTGGGGTCGCCCAGCTACTTCGAGTAGGGCAAGACACAAAACTTGAGCTGATTCTTTCTCTCCCGGCTTGGGTCCCCAGATCAGACACCAGCCCCCCTTCTTTGCACCTGGCAAGCGTGGAGACCGGTCCGCAGCGGCTAGGCTCGTCCACCCTGCAACCCCCATGGGCTACCGCCCTCCGCCACCTCGGCTGCCACCCAGGACAAGGCAGGGGTAAGCACAGGTGAGTCTGACCCTGGCCGAATGGGAGTCTTCCTCAGCCGTCCCCCTTCACCTGACTCTGTCTGGCTCTTGTTCTTTCCTTCCAGGCCCCCTTTCCCACCCATGTCTGATGTCTAGCCCCAAACCTTGTGTCACTCTCTCCTTTCCCACCTCCACCTCTTGCTCCTGTTCTCTTTTTTCTGACCATGCGTCTGTCTATCCGTGTGCCCAACTCTCTTCTCTTGCCTTGTGTCTGAGGTCTCCAGCCATTGTCTGACTATCGGACTAGGAATTCAGCATCTTCTCTCTCTTCTAATCTACCTGTCTCTTTGGAAGGTATTTCTGCCCACACTCCTGCCCTTCTTCCTCTCTCTCTCTCTCTCTCTCTCTCTCTCTCTCTCTCTCTCTCTCTCCCTCTCTCTTCCTCTCTCTCTCCCTCTCTCTCTCCACCATGTCTTGGATATAATGAAGTAAATGCCGCTCCCAGCCTCTCCATCCTGAATCCCTATGCTCCACGTTCTGTGTCCATCATTCCCTGGCTACTGGACTTCACTCTGTCCTCTCTCTTATCTCTGCCTCTCCTCTTAGCTCCCCTTCCCTCAACTTGGGGTTTCTGTCCCCCGTGTGACTCTTTTTTCTTCCTCCTTCTTCCTTCCTCCAACCCTCCAGCAGCTTCCCACCCTGAGCCTTCCACCAAAGCTCTTCCACCTGCCCCGAATGCCTTACCTGCCACAGCAGGCTGCCCACTACCGATGCCTGACTCCACCTTCCACTCTGGGTCACAGAGTGCCTGCCCTGACTTCCCCGTGCTCCCCTGGGGGCATGTTCTTTTAGTCTGAGAGTGCCCTGCCTTTTGCTGTGGCTCTATTGATCTGTTTGCTCCTTGATGCCTCTCACTGGATGGTGATCTCAAGAAATGTCCTTAATACCTGTCTATTATTTCCGTCTCTGGGTCCCCGAGCCACCACCCTCTGCCCTCTGCCCCTTTACCAGTCCTTCCTTCTCCCTGCTCCATCTGCTTCCCCCCCAACCCCCTCTTAAGTGTAGGACCACGTGGCCGCTATGTCTGGGGACTATGAAGATGACCTCTGTCGGCGGGCCCTCATCCTGGTCTCAGACCTCTGTGCACGGGTCCGAGATGCTGATACCAATGATAGGTGCCAAGAGTTCAACGAACTGCGAATCAGAGGCTATCCGCGGGGTCCGGATGCAGGTCAGAACCCCTGCTGTCCCAACTGGCCACTGCCCCTATGCACCTCCACAGCAGCAAAGACTCTGGGAAGGTCGGAGCAGGGCCGCTCAGCGTTCCACCCCTTGATGAATCTTGCCTGCTGCTCTGGCCCCAAACCACTGAACTGGGAGGAATAGTTGTGTGTTTGGTTCATCTAACCCCTGACCTTGGAGCTGTTGGCCTCCTCCTCCCTAATTATGACCACCAAATATCCCCCTTCGGGAATCATGAATCTGTTTATTTCCCTCTTTTTTTTTTTTTTTTAAGGTGAGGGAGGGCTGAGGATCAGATAGGGCCTTATGGAGCCCAGGTTGGTCTTAAACTTGAAACAGTCCTCCCGCCTCCGTCTCCCAGGTGCTGGGGTTATAGATGTGAACCATCATACCTAGCAACACACAGACTAAACTAGCCAAAGGCAGGGGTGCTGGTGGGGGGAAGAGGCAGCGTGCAGGAGACACCAGGAAGGACTGTCCAGTGTTTCCTCTGTGAGGTCACAGGTCAGCTTTAATTCTCCCTCTGTTGGTATGTGACACATTGCCCGCCAGAGAAGCTCCCTGAAACCTTAGTACTTAGGGTTTGTTTTTTTTTTAAGTTTGGTCATGTGATGTATTAACTTTTACGTTGCCATGACCAAATTCCTGGTGGAAACAAAGAAGGAAAGATTCACACACATCATAGCAAAAGGCAGAGGGGCACAGCAGCACAGACAGCGTGGCTGACCAGGACGCAGAAGATCCTGGGGATGCTGGTCTTAGCTGCCTTTCCTCTTCCCTACTCCATGAATCCTCTCTGGAAATGCCCTCACATACACAGAGGTGTGCCTTAGCTCCTGGGCTTTTGCTGCTGGTGGTGTGTATGCATGAATGTGCGCTGGTGCACATGTGTGTACATGTGTACATGTGTACATGTGTGTGTGTGTGTGCGTGTGAGTGCATGCATTTGGAAGTCAGAGAACTCTTTAATAGCCCCCCCACTTTTATTTTATTTTATTTTATTTGTCTACACATTTTTCTTGCATGTATGTCTGTGCACCATATACCTGCTGGTGCCCATGGAGGCCAAAAGAGGCTGCTAGATCCCCTAGAACTGGAGTTACAGGTGGTTGTGAGCCACCATGTGGGTGCTAGGAATTAAACCCAGGTCAAGAACAGCAAGTTTTCTTAACTGCTGGCACATATTTTTTCACTTTTTGAGACAGGATCTCTCATTGGCCTTGAACTCACCAAGTGGGCTAGGCTGAGTGGGGAGCAGGTCCCCAGGATCTGCTCATCTGTGTCTTTGGGTGCTGTTACAAGCGTGTACCGTTATGCCTGGCTATTTTTATGTGGGATCTGGAGATTGAACTGAGGCTTCTCTGGGCTGGTTGTGCAAATGCTTCACTGACTGAGCCGCTCCCCAGCCCCTTGTTTTGCATTTTGATATAGGGTCTCACTCTGTAACACAGACTGACCTGGAACTCCATAGGTAACCCAGGCTGACCTTAAACTCACAGCAATCCTCCTATCTCAGCCCCCTGGTACTGAAATGATAGAGATGAACCACCTACACCTCGCTCCTAGGTGATTCTAAATTTAGTTGACTTGACAGTGAAGAGCAACCATCACAGGTAGATGTGGTGAGCTGTCCACATGGCAGCTCTTAATCTTTCCAGAGCATGAACTGATAGCCCCCAACTCCCAATATAACTTTGCATTGCCACCAACTACCTGGCGTGGCTCACACTAATTCTTGGCCTTGCACACTCTGGGCTGTGAAGACCGGCAGGGGAGCCAGAGAGACTTGAAGGATTTAGATAGAGTCCTCTGAGTGGGGAATCCTATACTGGCAATGTTGAAAGTGTCCAACCCGTTTCCTCTATGACCCCCATTGCCCCGATGCCTCCCACATACAAGAGGCTGCTAAAATCCTGGACTCTGGTTTCCAGTAGCGTTTAGGGCTCTCAGTGGGGTGGGGTGGCCACCTAGATAGGAGCACTCTGAGGGAGGTGGCAGGATGAAGTTCAGACTTCTTGCACCAATGTCGGCACATGTTCCTGCGACACCCCCTCTTTCCTACAGCGTCAGTTTTAGGTGAGAAATGGGCTATATCACATGTAGGTGAGAGATGGGCTATATCACATGTAGGCTACGCAGTAGCGGAAGGACTAATGCTACAACCTGCTTTTGCTTCACCAGGTGATCTAGAACTAGGAGGTGTTTCCTTTTCCCTGAGTGTCCGGACACAGCAATTACAGTGGGATGTCCCAAGTGGCAATGGCTGAGTTACCTGCTCCCACCCACCGTAGTTCTCCATCTAGATAGAGCAAGGTCTCATCCTTATTCTACCTCCAATCCCAGGAGTCACAGCCTCAAGAGTTACATCCATGAAACCCCACTCCTGGTATCAATTACAAAAGGAGTCACAAAACCCCTCTCCCAGTATTAATTACTGAGAGTGACCCAAAACACTGGTTGTAAGAAAGGGGCCATGCTGAGCATGCTGCTGGCCTTTAGAAGACACCAGTTGGTGTGTGTGTCATGTGACAGCGGTCGTGAGTCTGATCATTTGAATAAGGAAGTCTCCCCGAGGCCACTGCTCACCAAGGAGTACTGAGGTGTGACAGTAAGAGCATAGGTCTTAAAGTGTGGCACCTGTGTGTGTGTGTGTGTGTGTGTGTGTGTGTGCGTGCGTGTACGTGTGTACGTGTGTGCACATGTGCGTGTGTGCGTGCACGCGTGCATGTGTGTGTGTGCGCGCGCGCGTGTGTGTGCATGTGTGTGCGTGTGTGTGCATGTGTGTGCATGCACGTGTGCATGTGCATGCGTGTGTGTGTGCACGCCCGCTTGTGCAGGAGGCCAACCACAGATATTATTTCTAAGGCACTGTCCTCCTTGCCTTTTGAAACAGAGTAGGCTAGGCTGACTAGCCAGCAAGCTCCTAAGGATCCACCTTGCTCTGCCTCCCCAGTGTGGGGTTTACAAGCACAAGCCGCCTGGCCAGCCTTTCTATGCAGGCACCAAACTCAGGTGTCACACTTGTGCAGTGAGTACTTTCCTGACTGAGGTATCTCACCAGTCCCCGTCGCACCTTGTCCTCTGACCTTCACTTCCTGTTGGTCAGTCTCACCGGGTGCTCTGAGGTGTCAGGTATACTGTCAGACCTCAGCAAATGTTAGTTATTGTACTCGGGTGTCGCTCGTCATTGTTACCGTCAGCCGCGACAGAAAGCGCCTAAGACAGATTCCCCAGGACAGACAGACAGCTAAGGCTCTCCTGGTTGTCGCCGAGCTTTTTGGGGTCTTGTCCTTCACAAGTGCCCTATGACAGAGAAGCAACATGAGCCTGGAGACAGTCTTCAGGGCCCCCATCTCCAACCTGTCAGTCGCTACCTACAGAACGTGGTGTGAACTCCACCGCCTCTGCAAAGCAACCGTTATATAGCGGTGTGACTACAGCCAGAGTATAGAGTTCCAACTCAGTCATCCTGGTAACCACTCAGGACAGTAGATGCCAGATGTTTTTGGGAGAGTGCTGACCCCTCATGATCCCTGATCTCTCTCTTCACTCTTTCCAGACATTTCCGTGAGCCTGCTGTCAGTCATCGTGACATTCTGTGGCATCGTCCTCTTGGGTGTCTCTCTCTTCGTGTCCTGGAAGTTGTGCTGGGTGCCCTGGAGGGACAAAGGAGGCTCGGCAGTGGGTGGCGGCCCCCTGCGCAAAGATCTAGCCCCTGGGGTTGGGCTGGCAGGCCTGGTCGGAGGTGGTGGGCACCACCTGGGAGCCAGCCTTGGAGGCCACCCCCTGCTGGGCGGCCCCCACCATCATGCACACACAGCCCACCATCCGCCCTTCGCCGAGCTGCTGGAACCAGGTGGCCTTGGGGGTGCTGAGCCTCCAGAACCTTCCTATCTGGACATGGACTCATATCCAGAGGCTGCTGTGGCCTCTGTGGTAGCCGCTGGGGTCAAACCAAGCCAGACATCCCCAGAGCTGCCTTCTGAGGGTGGGACAGGCTCCGGGCTGCTCCTGCTGCCTCCCAGTGGTGGAGGCTTGCCCAGTGCCCAGTCTCATCAGCAGGTCACGAGTCTAGCGCCCACCACCAGGTGAGAGATGGTGTTGGGCTGGGGCCTTCACTGTGAGGCCTTGCTTCTCTTCTCTATCTTCTCTATCATCTTTGACCCTTCTGATAGCAGGGTCAGAACAGGTGTGGGATACTGACCCCTGGATCCAAAGGAGGATGAGCCTGAGGCCTAGACTTCTGGATGTAAGAGGAAGGGAGCAGGGCCTTGGATAAAGCCGCCTGGAGACAAGAATCCAGGGTTAGAGGCTAGCATGGTAGTGTACATGTTATCCCGGCCATTTCACAGGCTGAGGAAGGAGGGGCTAAGGTTTGAGGCTGCCCTGGGCACTGTAGAGAAACTTGGTCTTAAAATAAAAATTTAAAAAAAAGATAAAATTAGAAAAAAAGAAGGCTAGGCTACATCTCGGTGAGAGAGCACCTGCCTAGAATTTCCCAGTGAGGGAGTGGGGGTGTGACTGAGAGGTCCCTCAGTGAGGTTCCAGGGTGGGGTTCTGCACAAGAGCTCTGGCCTAGCTTGCCAAAAGCCCTAGGTTCAGTCTCAGTACTGGGGGCAGGGGTTTGTGGTTTCTGAGGGGCAGGCAATTATTGATCTCATGCGGTGTAAGCTATGGTTAGTATATGGGCCCAGTGTTCACTTGACCGTTCTGTCTTCCTCATTGTGTGCATGTAAGCGTAGGGTCTGATAGGAACTGGACCAGAGATGCATGCTGTGCCCAGGCCTCCACCCTCAGGCTCTGACAGTCCAAGGGGTATGAGTTAGGAAGGCAGGAAGGCAGCTCGAGGCACTGCCAAGAGCCCCACGGAGATCCCAGCCCAGGCTGGGAGGAAGCTGAAAATTCCCTGGATGTAGAAGTAGCTTGACAGACAGTCACATGGTGGGGAAGCTAAGACAGATGTGCAGGTAGGGGAGCATGCACTGTCATTGCAGGCCGGACAAAGTGAGGACAGAAGAGGGCAAGTTCTTGATGGGGGAAGCCGGGAGGCGGCAGGAGGCAGATCTGGACCCAGTCTGGGACATGGGGCTGCAGACGCCAGACCAGCGGAGGCTAGAAGTGGCAGGGGTAAAGGCTGTGTCCCGAGGGCACTGGGGAGCCACAGCAGGGTGTGAACCAAGGAGGAAACGTGTCAACTCTTGAGCCATCTAGGGAGGGAGAAATGAGGACCAGCAGCCCAGGCAGGCAGAGGACAGGCTCAGCCAAGAACAAGCCATAGAGACAGAGAGCAGTGACAGACCAGGGAGGGGGGAGGTCAGCTGAAGATGACTTGGAGGATCTGGGTAGGGCGTCCGAATGAAGAAGTCCTGATGACCTCTGGAGCTAGATTAGAAATATGATAACATCTCTGTTGTAGATGGGAAAACTGAGGCTCAGTAAGCACAGGTGTCTTATCCAGGTCAAGGACAGGTCTGCATCTCACCTTGGTCTCCCCTTGACACACAGGTACCCAGCCCTGCCCCGGCCCCTCACCCAGCAGACCCTGACCACCCAAGCAGACCCAAGCAGCGAGGAACGGCCACCTGCGTTGCCTTTACCCCTGCCAGGCGGCGAAGAAAAAGCCAAGCTCATCGGTCAGATCAAGCCAGAGCTGTACCAGGGCACTGGACCTGGTGGCCGGCGAGGCGGTGGGGGCTCTGGGGAGGCAGGGGCACCCTGTGGCCGCATCAGTTTTGCCCTGCGGTATCTCTATGGTTCTGACCAGCTCGTGGTGCGGATCCTGCAGGCCCTGGACCTCCCAGCAAAGGACTCCAATGGGTTCTCAGACCCCTACGTTAAGATCTACCTGCTGCCTGATCGCAAAAAGAAGTTTCAGACCAAGGTCAGGGCAAGGAGGAAGGATCCACAGTGTGTGTGGGATCTACCAGGTTTGAGGGAGGGAGCTAGGGAGGACCCCTGGGTCTGCGGGAGGAGAGCAAGGGCCTGGAGCCCTGGGTCTGAGGGAACATGGCTGAGGTCCATACCCTGAGTCTGAGGGAGGAGTCTGGGGAAGTCACCTGGGTCAGAAGAAGGGAGGCAAGGACTGGACTCCTGGGGTGGGGGGAAGAGTTCTGGGTCTGAGGAGGAAAGGAGGGGCCTGAACCTGGATCTAAGAAGGAAGGCTTTGGAGAAGGCTTAGGTCTTATGGAGGAGGCCTGGGATATGGATCTCTGGGCCTGAAAGAGAAGGGCTGGGGAGGACGCCCACATCTGCAAGAGGGGGGCTGGGGAGGACGCCCACATCTGCAAGAGGGGGGCTGGGGAGGATGCCCACATCTGCAGGAGGAGGACTGGGGAGGACCCCCACACCTGCAGGAGAAGGGCTGGGGAAGACCCCCCACACCTGCAGGAGAAGGGCTGGGGAGGACCCCCACATCTGCAGGAGGAGGGTTGGGGAGGA